CTCTCTCTGTCTCGCCTTGTTGCTCGTAATGCCCTCCTGCCATGCTGCTGACAAAGACCGACCCTCGTTACAACAGCTACACATTTGACCTTCACAAGGCCGTACCATTCCATAGCATGTCTACAGAAGACCGGGTAAAATACTGGGACCCAGACGGTGTGCATTTCACCGAGGCTGGCTACGACTTGATTGGAGAAAAGGTGGCCGAGGGGCTGATCAAGATCCTGCACTTGGAGGAAGCACAGTCTACAGAAATCAGCTCCATCGTGTCGGACGAGAGACAGAGGAAACTGATTGAGGAATTGATTTTCGAGGAGGAAAGAGGCAACCCCAGACTCTTGAGCCAGGGGTGGATAATTGTGCGAAAGCGTGATCTTGATTGAGTTATGCCGTTTCCCCCGTCCTGCACATGCCTTGCCGCTTGGATAAATATCATGGATTGCAACCCACTTTGAACCCCCTTTGAATGTAATCATGCGATGCAATATTTTTGTGTCGAAAAGAGCTTCTACATGGATAGACTGCACTCGATGAAAGAAATCTAGTGGGATATTGCTTTTACTCAAACTATGCAGCGAACTTACTCTTCAGGAACATGATCAATGCAGCTTTGAATATAAATACATCAAAGAATGAGATTAACACGAGAGCCTTTGGCAAGATTTGAACTACTCGTTGCCAAGGTTATCCCAAACACGATGAGTGAGAGGAAAGAAATGAGAGAGAAAGCGAAAAGATAAAAGACTCTGGAGAGGAACAAAGGACAAAAAGCAAAAATTGAAATCGGTGTCTCGTAACCCCATGTGGAAAATACAATAAACAGATGGTGAAACTTTTGCCAGGCCAACTTACCCTAGAATTCAACACTCAGCCACTGAAGAAGCTTTTGCTGTTGGTCGACAAACGCTTATTGCAATACATCCATCTACCTTCATTCCTCTGCCTCGTGGCTGCGTATGAATAGGTCTTTTATTCAGCCATTCATTCAGCCCAGCAAGGGATTACTTGATTCATTCGTCCAGTTTGATCATCTGTGACTAATGATATTATGGAAGCCTCTACTGCGGCCATCCATTATACTCTATCTATGCCACCATGTACACCGTAAACGCCGTGCAAATCATCATTCATTACCGCGGAACCACTGCGGTTTACACTACCAGGTTTGCAAGAACAAACTCTGGAAATTGTGTCTGCAAGGTATTCGTAATATTTTCAACCTCTTCGGCCAAACCTTGTACGTTGGAGTCCCACCGCCGCATCTCCTTGCCTACCGTCACTTCAGCCCTACCACTGCCCTTCTCGCCCGATGCCTCTCCGCCCTCGAACCAGATAATCTCGTCAATCTGATCAATCCTGGCCACCAGTCTTCCCTGCTCGATCATCTTGGCCGTGGTGTCCTCTGCCTTTTCCGGATCGAGACCGAGTAGCACACCCAGTGCCTCAAAGCCAATGTTGCTGTAGAGGCGCGAAATGCCCAGCAAATTGTGTTCAACCACGGCCTTTGCGAGGACTGTGGATCCATCCGACGTGGTGGCGAGTTGATGAGGAGACAGACTCTGGGCAAACTTGTCAACCTCGTCCCGGGAGAGTAGGCGGTCAAAGAACATCTTTTCGAGAATGCCAAACTCCTCCAGGTTGGCAGCGCGCTCGTCCTTGAACAGTCTTCCAAGCGCACGGCTTCGCATTGGACCAGCCGGTGCCAGAATGGCGCACTTGATAGCCATGCTCAGGGTGAGCAGACGCTCGTCTTCGGAGACGGCCGTCGAGAAGCTGATTTCATGGTACGCCTGACTTGCCGACAAGAATGAACGCTTGGCATCTTGAATGCGAGCCTGCGAAAGCTTGAAGTGTAGATTCAAGGCGGGATCGCTGACTGTGTAGATGATGTTCTTGAGCTTGTTGAGGTAGGTCTCTGCAGTGGTGGTGTCGTCGACTTCGAGGTAGTTGCGCACGATGCGTATCCAAATCTTGGCGCGGTCTTCATTGGTCACCTTGCGCTGAGCGCTGTCGAGAGGAATCTCGGCCAAGATTTTTGCAGCCTCCAGGTTGTCCTCATTATGTTCGTGTCCATCCGCAATCAAAAACCTAATATCGGCGGCTTGATCGTGGAAGGTGGATTGCTGGTTTGCGAGCAATTCGAGCATGTATTTGCCGATTTCGATGGACAGGTTGGCGTTGTTGAAGTCCTTTAAAACAGTGGTGAAGTCGGAGACTAGCTGCCGGAGCGCCACGATACTGATAGAGCCGCCGAATAAGGCATCGACTATGGCTCTGAGGTCAACCGAGATGGACGAGGGTGACGATATGCTCTTGACGCTCTTGATGAGGGATTCAAAGGCAGCTGCTTGATCGGGCGAGGACTGCGCCGTGGCTATGGCGTCGGCTACAGGCTTTGAAGCCATGCTGAATGAATGTACGGCGTGAACGTTGCTTACGAGGCTGTCGGTTTTCCGGGGGGTTATGGTTGAAAATATGACAGTCTGATGTGTCTGGTCCGTTCGAGTTCACGTTGTTTGGGCAGGTCCGTTTGCAAATCGAGGTCGAGGTTCAGAGGTGTAATCAATCAGTGAGAGCTTGCTTGCCTGCACCTGCTCTGGTTGCACACCTGTTTTTGGCCCGAATGCGGGGGAGCTCTTTCCCAGGTGGGAACCCTTTGCCTGAGACGTACGCTGCTGGCTTTCGTTTTGGCTGGCTGCCTGGCTTTTTGAGCCTCCTCTTAGCGGCTCCGTGCTGCCAGGGTTGTTTTATGCTTAGCGCCTGGATAATTCCCTTGGCCTTTGCGGGGTGCATGTGATTGAATATAAATGCTCCACCTGCGGGCTGCAATCTGTGCAAAGACAATGACTCTGAACTGCACCCATCAAGAAGATTTATCTCCTTCTTCTTATGATGATATGAGTATTTACTCATCAGTCAAGTTTACTAATCATTCCTCTCTTCTGCTAACTCCCTCGGAGGTGCGGGCGGCCGAATATGCTCAATGTTAGACGCATGCCAATAGATCTACTCTATAGATATACTCTGATACCCTCCTTATCCTGCTGCCGTGCCTGACCCTTTTGTCCTACCACACTTTTCTTTCTTTTTTCTTTGCTTCTCTCCATGCAAGTCTTACACACAATGCCGCGAATTCATCCCTGCGTCAAATATATGATTTACTGTTGAAAATGGACTTGTATACTACAACTAGAACCCACCTGTAACAGAATCACGCCAAGCTCAAGAACATCCCCCCTGGGTTGCGTATGTTGATAGGGCAAAATGGAAAGGACGTCATTGCTACCCTATAAACAAACCATACAGGAGCTCTTGGAGAGAGACACTGACCATTAATGTATCGCGTACATAGAAATTCAAGTATACCTAGATGGCCCCGGCAAAAGTTTCACGCCGCTTTCTAGAGTGATGAGAGCAAAGACAAGGAGAAGACAAGCTGAAAAGAATAGAACGAAAACAAACCAAAGTCACCAGAAACAAGCTTGAGCCCTGTCAAACGCGGTATGCCTAACTCGCAGGAACCTGCAGTGGTACGCAATCAGCAGCCGACTAATCAAGGCACACATGGTTGCATGAAACTCTATTGGCTACCTCTAATGTCGGATATTTTTCGTGGCCAAACAAAATTCACAAAACGCTGCATGAGAAGAATGCTGGATCAATTTCATATTCAATTTTGACTCCCAAGCCATGAATGCTTTAAAAGGTTCAAATATGCCCATGTGTAGAATGCTAAGCTATGCTGGTTCCCGTGAAAACGCCCATACGCCATGCCTTCCCAATGCGTTTTGAGGCCTACCAATGACCCAATATCAAGGATCCAGAACCAATGCATTATAAAATAAAAAGAAACAGGTTAAAAAAAAAGTGTGGGTTTCGCGCCATCCCCAGCTCATCTAAAAAGTCGGAGGCCGTTGTCGCATTGCATTATGCGCCAGAGCTTGTCAGGGCTTGGTGGATCCGAGGCCTCTGATTTCACAAGTCGTTTGCCATAGACGTCCTAAGCCGCTGGTCCAGGTGTGGTAGAAATTGGCTGAATTGTTGCTGTACGCGAGAGCTCTTCAGTGCCCGCCTTGTTTGCATCCTCAGGGTGCGAGGCCAGGTCGGACACGTTCCTGTAAGGGGAGCCTACACGCGCAGGGCGATTTCCCTTCAATGTCGACTTCCGTGTCGGACTAGCCTTCTCGCTGCTTGGCCGGGAACTCTTGATTGTTTGGAGTTTTGGTCGGCGGGCTGCTCGCGTCGATTGACGGTCCGAGATTGGGCTACCGCGGTAGAACTCTTCATCATCAGATGAGTCGATGTCGGGTGTCACGGGTGTTCTGACGCGACTGCGCCGCTTCTGTTTCATGAGCTCGTCTGATAAATCAGAAGACTCCAACGAGAGACTTCTACTCCGTGCGCTTCGCTGGCTGAGCGCGCCCCGACTCGAGGATGTATTTCGCCTCTGGTTCGAAATCGTACGAGATGCGAGTATCAGTTCGATCTCTGTGGGCAACTCTCCACTCCGCAGCTTGGCATCAATCATTTTCTCCTGAACCTGTCTGCCCAAGGGCGGACCATTGCTAGCAACTGTTCGCCTGCTTGCTTGACTGGCGCTCCTGCTGACGGGTACCTTGCCTTCCATAACCTTGGCGGATGGTGGAGGCTGTAGCATCCACTTGGCAGCATTCTTGTTCTTCGGGCGCTGACTAACAATCGGAGGGTGATAGTCATTCACTGGAGGGTGTCTTGCTGGAGCGTAGAAATCTACCCTGTCCGCATCAGTGACTTCTTTGGGTTCCTTGGCCAGAGCTTCCAAGGCATCCAGCATGCGGCCGGCCGACGTTCCAGCGTGTTTAATAGCGTCCATGAGCCTATGGCCAGCCTGGGAGAACTCCCCTCTTCCCCAAAGTTCCTCATCCTCACGCTGATATCTCTTCTTGTTCCAGTCATCTGACCATGTTTTCGATAACGTAGAGTCGGTATCTTCTGGTACAACAGTCGGACTGCTGCCAATATGGGTCATACCAACGGCTATGCTGCTATCTGTCGTGCTTCGACTGTCCCGTCCGGCGCTGTTCAGGGCCCTCTGGCTAGTGTTCTTGCTGGTTTGTGTAGACTTTTTGCTGGGCAAGCTGGGGCCCATCATAATTTCTTCATTCCAGTATGGATTCGTGTTGAAAGGATCCGGCTGCTGGTACAGATGCGGGTTTTCTGCCTGTATTCTTTGCTTCTCCTCCCGGTCCTTGATCGCCTGCTTCTTGGACTGGCGATGCTCCCTTGCTTGTGCACATGGTGTGCAAGCGCATATGTAGAAGATGGCAGACTGAACGGCCACCAGAAAAGACATGGTGAAATTGGGTATGCGAGCTCAGGATGGTCGACTTGAGGGTTGCCCAATGGCCCGACGAGACACCTTACTGAGTCGATAACCAATCTGTTCCAGTTTGTATTGTGCGAGGCATACGGAATCAATTGCTCAGCCCTTTAGGAAACGTTACAATTCGAGGCGGCGAAGTAGAGGACCGCTTGCCAAACAATCGAGTTTCGTTGTATGTGGCCCAAAGTCAAGAATGGCGGTTCGACTGCAAGCTAAAATGGTGTGATCGTATCTATAAGTCGCTTGCTCGTATTGAGGGGAAATGGGTAGCGGTCCAGCCAGCCAGTGGTCTCGTGGGAAAGGAATGAAGAAGTCGCAGGATTGTTATGAAATCCAAAATAGCACCAGGCAACGCACAATCGACGATCAATGTAGGACGAATGCAGGTGGGAAACGTCAAGCCAACAATAAGGTTCGGCGGAAGGAGAGAGAAAAAAAATTGGGCAGCGTCTTTCTTCGAGAGTCGGATCGAAAGGAGAGGAGGGCGAGAAGCAGTTTGATTTCCAAATTGGTTAACAAGGTGGGCGCCAGGGATGCACAATCAATCGTCTTAGTGTAAAGCCAGTGTGGTGCTACCAATCGGACACGGAGTGCCAATCTAAGGAGAAACGGCTTTCTCGGCAAGCTGGTGCGTGTGTAATGGTAATGTGTGTAGTGTAGTGCAGTGCTGAGTGTGTTAAAAGAGCGTCGCCCGACGACGATATGGGGGACGAGAGCTGGGAGTTCCTAACAAAGGGAAATGGAGAATGAGAAGCAGAGGTGGGGAAACAATGGGACAGCTAATGCAAGTAAATTGAGACAGTCGGTTCCGTATTGAGGATCCGGCCCTTGATGGCGGGATAGTGAAGACGCCGCGCAAGTCCGCAGGCCCGCTTGCTCAGCTGGGGTTGGTTGTTGCAGCAGGGCAGGCAGTCGTAAGATGTACTGCTAAGGTAGTATTGGCAGCAGGTGATGTGCTCTTGAGTGGTTGTTTGTTTAACAAAAAAGGTGTGTAGAGAAAAGATGACTTGATGGTCAGAAGAAGGAATGAGGAAGCGTGGCGATGTAAAAAAGAGTGTCTGTGTGTTTGTGTGATTAAGGTTGTCCGTTGTGTGTGTGTGTGTGTGTGTGTGTGTGTGTGTGTGTGAAACGGGTGACGGAAAGAAGAGGATCAGATGCCTGGGCGGCGATCATCTGTTTGCTGCGTGCTGGTGCGTGGGCGTTGGTGTGTTCCTCCAAAAGCAGGCAAATGCAATGTAGGTACAGTAATGTTGGAGATCAAATCGGGACTAGCTATGCGGCATGCGCGCGTTGCATGTTCTATTATGCATATGGGCTGATTTAATGCCAGAAAAAGGTGCGCAGCTGCCCTTTTCTGTCTCTGTTTCTAGCAAGCCGCCGCAGCAATTGATAAGAAGAAACTCAATTGCAAAGAGGGACAGATGGAATGGGAACCGTCTCAGACTCGGCAATGGTTGGTAATAGCAGCCAGTTGTGGTTGGGGGGATGGATATCCTAATCGAAGAGGGGCAACCAAATGCATGGAGCTTTGGCTCCTACTGCAGCTCATATGCAGGTCGCAGATGCATTTGAACCTCTGCCACGGGAATTTCCAAACAGAGGAAAGGGACGAAAAAAGGGGACCGGGACCCCCCATTTTCAAAAAAGCAAGACCAACCACCAAGAAGCCCAAGACCACACCCAATCTTGCATTCGAATCTCTTTGCGCCATGTAGGTACGAGGTGCACATTTCAATTTTCGCAGGGTCTCAACAGTCAGGGCCTGTCCGACGTCCATCTACGGGTTAGTATGTGGCTGCTCCCATGTTCCTTTCCCATTAAACCTGCCAGAGATAAAGAAAACGGATCCGTTTGGTCAGGGGTTTCAGGTCCCGATTCACTCTATTAATGAATGCGATCCGCCTTTTACTATGTATTGGCAAAACCAGCCAATTGCCCCTCAGCTAAGCCTCCGCCAGACGGACGCCAAGAGCCCCGCCATTTTCGAGGAAATCTCCATGGCCCCTTTGGCCCCGGCGCTGCCTTGAACTTACTTCAGGGATTTGAAAACGGCGGACTATCCTGGGCACCGTCACATTATTCCCCGCTGGGAATTGCGTGGGCAGATCCCAAGTTCAAAAAGAAAAGATCAGTCCGTCATCATTGCCAATTCTCGCCCATAGTTTGGTGCGTCTTCTACTAATAGCAAGACCGTTCTCTTTTCCCGTTTGCCCAATTTCTTCTAGAAACTCGCTCGAAGGTTAACGGGTAATGATAGATGGTTCTAGTCAAGCGGAAGAGGCGCAAAGGTTTCATCGACTGTTGCTTGGTTTTGCGACTCTACGGTGTCAGCCGGACGCTGAATTCCCACAATCTCCCACCTGGTTGTCATTTTGACATCATGACGATCACACGCCCATCTCCGCTGCACCCCGTGTAAACTCTGCAGTGATCAGCGAATGACTATAAAGAAGGGGACTGGGCAGGCTGGGAGTCCGCTGTTTGCTCACACCGACAACTGCACAAGAAAGGAGACCAGATTCAAAATCGGTGGCTGATTGAAACTCTGTCTAAGCAATGACCCAAAGGTTGGACGAGATGAGTGTCTCGTGATCTGGCTACGATTATATGATTGATCTCTCTAGTTAAATTGTTCATACTCTGTACAATGCTCGCCAAGGGTCAGCTGACCAATAATTTTACCTCTAGCCAGGAAGGCTATTTCTTCATGACACCCGCCCGGTCCGCCGATCTTTACTGCGCGTTGGAAGGCTATCTTGGCCTGTCTGTGGCCCAGCGCCTGCTTTGGCGGCCAGGACAACTAACGGCAGAGAATAGAGCAGCCTAGGATCTCCCGAGCTGGAAATGCTGTCATATCTTCAAAAGCCGGGAGCATTTGATCGATCTCAAATTGCGAACCGCATTGGCTATACCGCACAATACATGAAACAGTTAATCACCTATAAGTCTGGCCTCACCTAGGTCATCTCGTGTTGAGTTCACTTGCTGACACCAATTATTTAAAGAAAAAAAGAAGTGTTGTACATAATAAGTATTTACTCCGCCATCGGCCCAAATACAGCCCTCGGCTTTGGTTGCTGACATACAGTGCTCGACCACAAGCAGACGACCTTTGGTGGACGATTCGAATATCGGATTTTTGTAAAGCCGGCCAATCATTACTTGCCTGATGTCTGCTGTTCGAGGCTCTGCGACGATACTAAGTATCATTATCGCCATCCGCTTGTGGTGGATACCTGAGTCAGCTGAGCACCGTCTGACATGTGGAAGCAAAAAAAAAATCATAAGGGCTCCGACGGCCCTGCCGGTCGGTCTCTTCTCTTCAGATAACAATACTGATAAGCATATTGCTTTGCAAGCCCGAAGTTGCCGACAAGGCTGATGGTGATGGTTACCCTCTTTTCTTCATCATCTCAAAGTAAGTATACATATGGCCCTCGGGCCCTGGTGATTCGAGGTGGGCCATTTCCCCGTGGGCTCAAGAGACGGTCAGTTCCTCGAAAGACCCGCTCTCTGAGAAAAAACTGGATCGCCTCAGCTTCACGATAACGACCATGAGTAGTGAAGCCCCCCAGACCGGCCACATTCTTCCTAATTCTAGAGATCTGATTGAACCGCTATTGTGGGCTGGCGGCTTGTTACCGAGCCGAGGCTATTGCCACATGCCAGTGCGCTGACATCGCATTGTCATGGTCATGATTTTTTTTCTTCTTCCTTTTTTCTTTGTCCGCTTATTGAATTTGCACTTTTTTTTTCTCTTCCAGATATTTATACTGCGCACTCTAGAGATCGTCCAATTCATCTTATATGTTTCTGCCGTAATCGATACCCCATTTCCTTTTTTCAGATTCTCTCAGTATGCCATCAAGTAATCCACCAGCGCCGTCTTCGGCCCAACTCGAAGAGGTGAAAGATGCCGTGCGCGCGCTGCTTCACCAGCCAGAGTACGACGATGGCTCTGCTGGCCCAGTCCTCGTACGCCTCGCATGGCACTCTGCTGGCACATACGATGCCGCCTCCAAGACGGGTGGCTCCAACGGCGCCGGCATGAGATACGAGAAGGAGGGCGGCGACCCGGCCAATGCCGGCCTCGCCCACGCCCGGGCCTTTTTGGAGCCCGTCAAGGAAAAGTTCCCCTGGATCACGTACGCAGATCTCTGGTGTCTGGCCGCCGTCGTGGCCGTCAAGGAGATGGGCGGGCCCGAGGTCCAGTGGCAGGGCGGCCGAACCGACTTTACCGACGACAGCAAGGTGCCGCCGCGGGGTCGGCTGCCCGACGCCGCCCAGGGTTCCGACCACCTGCGGCACATCTTTTACCGCATGGGCTTCAACGACCAGGAGATCGTGGCCCTGTCGGGCGCACACAACCTCGGCCGCTGCCACGGCGACCGCTCCGGCTTTGAGGGCAAGTGGGTAAACCAGCCCACCCGCTTCTCGAATCAGTACTACCGACTGCTGCTGCAAAACGACTGGAAGAAGAAGAAGCTGGCCAATGGCCTCGAGCAATTCGTCTACGTGGACGAGGAGATTGAGCTCGAGGAGGGCGAGGAGCCCGAGGAGCTCATGATGCTGCCGACCGACATGTCGCTCCTGTCGGACGCGGCGTTCCGGCCGTGGGTGGAGCGCTACGCCAAGGACAAGGACCTCTTTTTCGCCCACTTTGCCGCCGTCTTTGGCAAGCTTTTGGAGCTGGGCCTTGTGCGCGACGCTAGCGGCAACATTGTCAATGAGGAGAATGTCGAGGGCGGATACCAGAGCGCCCCCAAGAAGAGCGACACGGCCGACACGCCCCGCGACCAGGGCAAGGGCCAGATTGGCCACGAGGCGGCTCCTCTACAGAAGGAAAACGAGAAGTTCCAGAAGAGAAAGGACGGTGCAAGGCTATGATGAAATAATCAAGACCCGGCAGAAAGAGAGCGCCGAGAAACTAGAGTGGTACATGATGTGCCTAACAGAGGCGCGTATAGACTTATGGAAGTAGAGATCAAAGACGAGGCTCTAGAGATAGAATAGATTATACAGGCCAGACGGCTGGATACCAGGATTAAGACCACTTGAGAGACAAGTGGGTTGATCTATATATATATAAGACGTGGTACAAAGCACCTTGAATACACCAATTGCAGTACAATAGTTGGACAGCATGAACTTGATCGCCACAAAGTCTGAATTGGGTATGTTCTTTCAAGATCAAAGCGCAATCGTAGGTCGATGCTTATCCTTGGAACGGAAGCTTTCAATCTCCACAAATTAAGACAAGAGTGATCGAAAGGTTATGATCAGTATACCACGATTATGCAAATATTTTTCAGAAGCAGTTTGGCGGCAATGTCAGGCTTGAATTTACGCTATTCAGCTATGTACAGATCAAGAGAATCCAGCGTCATCCCACTTGAATAGAAATCCCGCACCTGCTGCCGCCCATTGTCAAAAGGTTTCCGTCCACCCGTCCGCAGTAGAAACACTCGAGCCCGTGTTCCATTCTGGGGACCCCTGGGCCTACAGATATGACATTTTTATCGAGCCGAGGGCCTTTGAGGCAGCCGTTGGCCGCCGAAGCGGATGACTGCCTACAGAGAGACGCGACCAGCCCGGCCCCGGACTTTTCGAAGGTCTTTTTCACACATCATGCTCTCACCCTGCATCTCCTAAGATTCTCCGACTCGCAGAGAAGGTGGACGCTTGTCGTAATGAGGGTTGGATTCTCCTGGGCCGAGTCCCAGACGCTGGCTCCGGAGCATAGTCGCTTCTCTGCCGTAGCTCACGGACGCACCAAGTAGTCGGTTGTTGTCTGTTGATGCGTCCGATCCAGCAGGACAGCGCTAACTATCGCGCTTATCTCCTTCAGAAAGAACCCAAGCATGATGGCGGCCACCTAGATTGCAGGAGGGTATTCCTACACCTAGGTGATCTGACAGCTCAATCTCAAAAAACTCTGAGCAGCCGTCACACTGCTCAGCATTACCAATCAATTATGCCCTCGATGGCGCAACCTCCACGTATCCCGTGGCAGGGGTTGGATTTCAATTGACACAGAACGACGCGATTTCCCGCCCCTTGGCATCGAACTTGGGCCATGGGCGCGGAAAATCCGTCGCCTTCCATCTGGCTGAAGTCTTTACCTTCAGCCATGTAGGAACAACTCGATAGATGCTGTGTACAAATTTCAGAGACCAGAACGATGAACTCCGACGGCGTGTGGGCAGTTTAAGGTCTTGCCCAGGACGAATGCAACCCGTCAAAGACTAGTTTTCTATCAAGGAGTGAGTGGACGAAACAAATAAATCAGCCGCGGACTTCCGACTTACTTGGTACCATGCCTAAACCTGTGAAGCTCCCAATGCCCGCAACTCCTTCTATGCCAGATGTTTGCGCGCGCGCTTCCACACATGAAAGAGATATCTCTGCCTTGCTCATGCAAATTGTCATTCATGGACCTCATTTTTGCTTCTCTTGCAAATTGTCCGGCGACACTCATTTTTGCCCTGTTCCTGCAAGATTTTCCTCAGTGCTGTCTATGATTCTTGAATACCAAAACGCCTAGGGTTCATGCACCTGAAAGCAACAAATTAGCATGAGACTCACAAGGAGGTGACCATATCATTGCATACCATCTGCGGCGATCGCGCGCCGTCTCCTCGAGCCGTGTCCATCGCGGGAATCTAATTCTCATGCAAATCATGCATATCATTCATGCTGGCGACGTGGGGGCTTCGTCGCATCCAGCAACTCGTAAGCATTTCCATATCGTCATGCTCAGATCGTGATGTCGGGAAAGGGCTGTATTCCACGACTTCCTGGGCAGTTTAACGTCATACCGAGGACGCCAAAGGGCAACCGCTGTGCTGCCACCAAGAGGGCAGTTTAATGTCCATACCCAGGACCCAGAAGGCAGTTTATTGTCCATACCCAGGACCCAAAAGGCAGTTTACTCGTCATGCCCAGGACGAAGGGGGAAATTTGGAAGTTGAACAGATTCCATGGATTTGGTAGTCCGGATTGATCAGGGACAATGACGACAACGGGCTCACGAACATGGCAGCCGTAATCTCAATAATGATATTGTGCACGAAACACACGGAATGACCTTTGTGCTAACCCGGTACATTGAAGATGAAATGACAAACACAAGGCAAACGAAAGCCGTGATATATGAAAGAGACGTTTGAAACACCTTACCACACCTACTTGTACAATCTGCAAATATATCACGGACAGATCATTGTGGAATTGCGCCAAAGAGCGCTTGTGCCTAGCATGGCAACTTGGAAAGTCATGGTCATCTCTTTGTGTTTGGCACAGAAGAAATATGTGTAGAAGGAAGAAAGGTACCGATTTACCATGTGATAAGGCGGGCATCATTTTAGGTTACTCTGGGGAAGGGAGATGATGTCCACGGGTTCGAGTGGAGTTGGGCGGACCGTTAGTTCTTCCGACTCAGCAATCAAGGCCCGCCCAGGCCACTCCAGCTTCCGCCCAGCAGGTACCTACCTAGGAAAGCCTGATGTCGGGCCGCCTCTCGATCCAGCCTCAGAGAAGCAGGTACAGCCACTTTTGAGTGACCTAAAATTTCCAGGGCTGACAGCATTCAAATGCTAAAAAGTGAGGATATACACGTTACATACATGATTAAGATAGGTATGAATGTCATGCGCCTTTGGCACGCTGGTATTGAGCAGGTTCAACGCCCTAGCCACAGCACGCAGATCAATTGTCGCGCATGAGATTGTGCATTGTGACTTGCTCTCCTTTTTGAGAGGAGGGGAGGGATTTGGGAGGCTCAGAAAAAATAAAATAAAAATAAAAACTAATAAAATCATCACCAAACTACTGATTAAGAACGTCTACAAAGTGCGGTACTGTTTTACTTCGCACCACTGCACAACAAATTAATAAGGATATAATTTCTGAAAACAGCTTGATTGCAACTTGGCCTAAATCCCATTGTGCTGCAAAGTAATGCGCATTACTCGGCACTTCAGACTGTATACTAATTTGCACATGGTAGATATAAAACGGCAACAGCCCAAGTTTAATTCACCACCCATGAGAATTCGAGTACGCACGCATAAGGTGTTTGTGAAGAGTCATGTCTTGATCGCATGTCGGTGCTCATTGACTCATCTTCCTAGTATTGCTCATTATGGTCGCGGCATCGGGAGCAGGGTGTATTATTCCTTGTCATACACGGCACCACGTCACCAAGATTGACAATATCCATTTGGCGATATGGTGGGTGACCATAGTACGGAATAGTACTATGGTGTACGCACGAATACATACTAGCAATAAATGCAATGCCGAGGGCTGAACTTGGAAGCAGTGAGAAGTGCGTGCAGCCACGCTTAAATGCGGACCATAAACCTTATGGGGTCGAAATAATAGTCGACCATATATTAGATTGACATAGATTGGTCGCGGTTGAGAAAACTGGGGCAATGTCAATTTTCAACCTTGAATTGGACTTTACACTGCAGCTGATTCGTTGAAAGAGTGTTCAAGCGAGACTGGTTGCAACGCTCGAATAGGGAATTGGCAAAAAAAAAAAGTTGTATGAACCGTTTCTAAATGTTTACTACAAGGGTCCGTCCCATCACCATACGCTCGCGGCGAGCAAGTTTGGCAATTGCCGTGGGTTTGTGTTCCGCAGCATCGGCGATGGCCAGCTTGGATGATGATCTGCATCGATGCCACCAATTTATTCTGCGTGGAATTATTGATCGTGATCCGCTTCGCCAGATTTGTTGTGTTGTTGACTCTTTCCGAGCTCCGATAATGGTCCGAGACTGGTCAGAGAGCCCTGAAGCTGGATAGATCTGGGGTATCCCGTCTTACATCATTGGGCTCGAGCTGCAAATTTTTGCGGCGGGAGAACCAATGGCACGCAGCCAAAGCCCATGCACATACAAATGCTCCCTGCTTTGTCTAGTAGGAAGACATCTTAATTTCTATTGGGAGCGAGGCGTGGGAAAACTGTTTTGCGGTGACAATGGGAAAATTCTTCGCGGAACCAGCATATGAGATCCCCGTGACCGGTCCTAGATCGCAGGGGAACCAACTGTGCTATCTGCACGCCAAACCACTTTTCAGCTTAGCGCACAGCACCTTGGCGGGCCAATTCTAAGAATTTTTTTTTTCTTGAGCTTGTCAATTGTCCCTCATTGTTATCTTATCGCTGCCCACTGAGAAAAAGAGCTACTACTAGAACTAGGGACCGGGGCGGTAGAGTCACGAACTCCCGGCATCCTTGAGAGACCGACCTTTTCCTCTTAACCCTCGACCTCGACCAACTTTCTCTTCTGCCCCTTCAGATAGCTTTCAATTGACCTTAGCTAGGGGTGCAATTTCGAGATCAGGTCTCTCGAGAGGTCCTTCAGTCCACACCTTGGAGACCATAGCTCTTGTCACAGCTCCCCTCCAAGGTAGCAGCTATGGCTTTCTCCACAAAGTTCGCCCAGCGAGCTCCGGCTGCTGTCCTCCGCCATGGTCGTCGTCTCCCGACCGCGCTGCCTCGCCGACAGCTGACCAGCTCGCCTTCTCCCGCTTACACCAAGCTGGTCTCTGCCACTCGCGCTGAGCAATGGAACCAGAGGAGGAACTTCACAGCCTCGGCAGCCTGTGCTGCTGTCTCCCAAGAGGCCCCCAACCCAAAGGCATACATTGAGAGCGGTGTCATAAAACCCAAGGAGATTGTCGATGTCAAGAAGGTCCTCGTCATCGGTAGTGGTGGTCTTGCCATTGGTCAAGCCGGAGAGTTCGACTATTCTGGTTGGTTGCCCCCTCGACTATACCCGCGCCTGCGCAAAGTAAACAATTGCTCCCAATTGGCGGTTAACTACGAGTCATGAGAGTTCCTGAATGTTAACCTAGCTCTTGTAAAGGTTCCCAAGCTCTCAAGGCCTTGAAGGAGGCTGGTGTCGCTTCGGTGCTCATCAACCCCAACATTGCCACTATCCAGACTGCCCACGTCCTCGCCGATGAGGTCTACTACCTCCCCGTTACCCCCGAATACGTCTCATACGTTATCGAGCGGGAACGTCCAGATGGAGTCTTCCTGTCTTTTGGTGGTCAGACTGCGCTGAACCTGGGTGTGCAGATGCAGCGCATGGGTTTGTTTGAGCGATATGGCGTCAAGGTGCTGGGTACCAGTGTTCACACTCTGGAGCTCAGTGAAGACAGAGATCTCTTCGCCAAGGCTTTGAACGAGATCAACATCCCCATTGCCCACTCCATTGCTGTCAACACTGTTGATGAGGCGCTTGATGCTGCTGACAAGGTCGGCTACCCCATTATCGTCCGAGCCGCCTATGCCCTGGGTGGTCTCGGTTCTGGTTTCGCCAACAACCGTGAGGAGCTCCGCAACATGGCCGCTCGCTCTCTGACCCTCTCTCCTCAAATTTTGGTTGAAAAGTCGCTCAAGGGCTGGAAAGAACTCGAATATGAGGTCGTTCGTGACGCCAACGACAACTGTATCACCGTGTGCAACATGGAGAACTTTGATCCCCTTGGTACCCACACTGGTGACTCTATTGTCGTTGCCCCCAGTCAGACCCTGAGCGACGAGGAGTACCACATGCTCCGATCCGCCGCTATCAAGATTGTTCGCCACCTTGGAGTTGTTGGAGAGTGTAACGTTCAATACGCTCTGCAGCCCGATGGCCTTGACTACCGTGTTATCGAGGTCAACGCCCGTCTTTCTCGATCCTCCGCACTGGCCTCCAAGGCTACTGGTTACCCTCTCGCTTACACTGCTGCCAAGATCGGTCTTGGTCACACTCTGCCCGAGCTCCCGAACGCCGTTACCCGCACTACCACCGCCAACTTTGAGCCGTCTCTCGACTACATCGTCACAAAGATGCCCCGATGGGATCTCGCCAAGTTCCAGCATGTTAAGCGCGACATTGGCAGTGCCATGAAGTCTGTTGGTGAGGTCATGGCCATTGGCCGAACCTTTGAGGAGTCCTTCCAGAAGGCCATTCGACAGGTCGACCCCAACTTCCTCGGTTTCCAGGGTGACAAGTTCGACAACCTTGACGATGTCCTTGCTAACCCTACTGATCGACGATGGTTGGCTGTTGGCCAGGCTATGCTCCACGAGGGCTACACAGTTGACCGGGTCCACGAGCTGAGCAAGATCGACAAGTGGTTCTTGTACAAGCTCGAGAACCTTGTCAAGTGTGTCCGCGAGATGGAAGCCGTTGGCAGCCTGGAGAACCTGAAGCGTGACCTGGTACTCAAGGCCAAGAAGCTCGGTTTCTCTGACAAGCAGATTGCCAACGCCGTCAAGAGCAAGGAGACTGCTGTTCGCGCTCTCCGTCAAAGCATGGGTATCCGACCGTGGGTCAAGAAGATTGACACTCTGGCTGCCGAGTTCCCTGCTGATACCAACTATCTCTACACTACCTACAACGCTAGCTCTCACGATGTCACCTTTGAGGACCAGGGTACTCTCGTCCTGGGAAGCGGTGTCTACAGAATCGGTAGCTCTGTCGAGTTTGACTGGTGCGGTGTCTCGACCAGTCTTGCTCTTCGCGATCTCAAGAAGAAGACTGTCATGATCAACGTATGTACTCCTTCGTCACAAATTTGTACACCAAGACCTTGCTAACTTTTTCATAGTACAACCCGTGAGTAGAATTCTTGAACTGTTTATGTGCTGTGGCCCGAACGACCCACGTTGGTCCTAGTAGCACGGAGGATATCATAATCAACCGAGGCGAACAAGAATGCTGACTTGATACGTTAATTAGGGAGACAATGAGTACTGACTTCGACTATGCCGACAAGCTGTACTTTGAGGAACTCAGCTACGAGCGTGTCATGGATATTTACGAGCTCGAGAATGCCTCTGGTGTTGTCGTTTCCGTGGGTGGTCAGCTTCCGCAGAACAGTAAGTCCTCAAACCTTGCACTCTTGCCAGGAGAAGAAAAACAGCTGACATACTTGACTCAAGTTGCCCTCCGTCTTCAGGCAGAGGGTGGTGCCAACGTTCTCGGTACCAACCCTGAGGATATTGACAAGGCCGAGGACCGACAGAAGTTCTCTGAGATCCTCGACAGCATTGGCGTCGACCAGCCCGCTTGGAAGGAGCTTACCTCTGTCGCTGACGCTGAGAAGTTTGCCCAGGAGGTCAGCTACCCTGTGCTCGTCCGCCCCAGTTACGTCCTGTCTGGTGCCGCCATGACTGTCATCCGCAGCCAGGAAGACCTGAAGGAGAAGCTTGAGGCCGCCAGCAACGTCTCTCCCGACCACCCTGTTGTCATCACCAAGTTCATCGAGGGTGCCCAGGAAATCGATGTCGACGGTGTCGCCTCGAACGGAGAACTCCTCGTTCACGCTGTTAGTGAGCACGTTGAGCAGGCTGGTGTCCACTCTGGTGATGCCACTCTGGTTCTGCCCCCAGTTAACCAGGACGAGCGTACCCTGGAGCGCCTCAAGGAGATTGCTCGCAAGGTGGCCAAGGCTTGGAAGATCACTGGACCCTTCAACATGCAGATCATCAAGGCCGAGAACCCCGAGGGTGGCGAGCCTCAGTTGAAGGTCATTGAGTGCAACCTGCGCGCTTCCCGATCGTTCCCCTTCGTCAGCAAGGTCTTGGGTACCAACTTCATTGATGTTGCCACCAAGGCTCTGGTTGGCCAGGACGTCCCCGAACCCGTTGATCTTATGGCCAAGAAGCGTGACTACCTCGCTGTCAAGGTTCCTCAGTTCTCCTGGACCCGTCTTGCTGGTGCCGACCCCTTCCTCGGTGTCGAGATGGCCAGTACTGGAGAGATGGCTTGCTTCGGTAAGGACCTGATTGAGGCCTACTGGACTTCGCTGCAGTCGTCCATGAACTTCCGTGTCCCTGAGCCTGGTGAGGGTATCCTCTTTGGTGGAGAGATCTCTAAGGACTGGTTGACCAAGGTTGCCGACTACATTTCCCCCCTTGGCTACAAGTTTTATGCCGCCGACAACCACGTCAAGGAGTTCCTCGAGTCGAGCACCAAGGACAAGGTCAGTGTCGAGGTTATCGAGTTCCCCAAGGAGGATAAGCGTGCCCTCCGTGAGGTCTTTGAGAAGTACAACATCCGTGGTGTGTTCAACCTGGCCATGTCCAGGGCCAGGACAGTCACCGACGTTGACTACGTCATGCGCCGAAACGCTGTCGACTTTGGCGTTCCGCTATTCATGGAGCCCCAGACGGCCATGCTCTTTGCTCAGTGCATGAGCGAGAAGCTGCCTCGCAAGGAGGGTATCCCCTCTGAAGTCCGCCGATGGTCCGACTTTGTTGGCAACAAGGCATTGTAAATAAGTCATTTGAGGTAATGAAAATCTTGGGATCGGGTTCTAGAGAGAAGGAAGAGAAAAAGAAAGCCTGTTCCTTCACCATATTAAATATCCGTACCATTCCATGACCGCGAGGTACTCGGGTCGGTCTGGCAGGCGTTCGATTAACGGTTTGCGAGTTTGCGTGGTGGGCAATATTTGGGTCTGAGATTTATACTGAATATAAAGCGAATTTAAATATATACTCTACTCTACTGTGTTTTGAAATGCAAGGAAACGTGGTTCTCGTTACAGGGAACGGGGACTACCCAGGTCTTGGCTGTGCTACGCCTTCGTACATTTGCTGTACGACAAGAATCCAGAAACGGTCTCTTATTTGTGCCTATTTTGGTGTAGGAGAGTCGACGAGGCTGGCAAGGGCATCATATGTTTTCGAATGTGCAAATTGATTGAGAAGATCGTATTACTTTCATTCAGCTTCCTAGCCAGACTGTGTTGTAAGAACGCAACAAGGTTAGATTCCAAAGCAATAGAACAGGCGCGAAGGGTCAATTCATGCAGTGCAGCACCTGCGTCCAAAGCGAAGTCTTGAAATGAGGCACATCGACAGGAAGACGGGGAGACTGTCCTCGGCCAAGGATGAGGGGTGTTGCTCTTTGGGTGGATATCCAATAGATGGATGCTCTTGCGGTCATTCTTGTATCAGTTAGTCAAGAATTACGCGTGCTTCTGGGGCAATACCTTTCTACCAGGCCAACCATTCAAGACTGTCACATCTGACGTGTCGTACTACAGTAAAAAAATATTCAGGCAACAACTTTCAAAAACCGTCTGAGTACTGTTGAGGGTCTGTGGGAGAAATGCTTTGCAGAATACTCGATGTCAGCTACGAATTACCGGAATTTCCTATGTTCTAGCGATCAAGCGAATGGTAATCATACCATCCTCGCCATCGATACCGACCAATTCCCGAGTATACCATCCTTTGGATTACAAACCTCCGCCTGTAAGCTTTCCCATGCATCTTTCGTAAACCAGCTATCATGGGCCCAACCACGCTACACAGGGCTTACGAATCTGTGACGGACAATTACAGTGCCACATACTTGCAGACGCACAACCGACGGAGCTGTGCCACAAGAATGCACGACTTATAATTGGTTCAGCGATGCTAGAGCACAGACCAAATCGCCAACAGCAAAAGGCGCTACCTTGAATGGAGGATCGCATTTCTGTTGGTTGGCGATATCATTATAATTATACCACTGCAATCCCAGATTTCCAAGATCCATTTCTTCCCCCTAAGTGTTCCTTCTCTTGGACTTCAAGCGCTTACCAATCACGAATCATCAACCACCATGAGCGCGCCAAAGATCTTTTTCGGGGCCGGTCTCTTCAACAAGAATCACGGCTACAACTCTGCCGATGACATCAAGCCATGGCTGGAACCACTCTTGGAGAGCAAGGACATAATCAGCGGAATCGACAGCGCCGTTGCCTATCAAGAATGCGAGGAGTGGCTTGGTCAGATCAAGTTGGGATCGCAATACGGCTTCTCCATTGACACTAAACTCTCTGGTGGTGGTCATCCTGCCCTGGTCGCAACCAAGGAGAATGTCATTGCTCAGGCCAAAGAGAGCTTGAGCAAGATTGGAATTGAGCAGGTGAGTATCATACGGATGAATGGCCTTGATACTGTTTTTCCATTCTCAATCGCATTGACTTCTGAGCCCATCCACCAACAATGCAACGCATTGAGGCGACTCCTTTCCTTCTTCAAAGCTACCGGACCTGCCGGACCGGATGGTCGGATGGTCGGGTGGTGTCATAATCACACAATAGGCGACTGATGTTTTTTTTTTTTAATATCTAGTTTGGAATTCTTTACTTGCATGCCCCGGACGCACGTGTCCCTGTCGAAGAGATGCTCTCTGGGTTTGATGCGCTTTACAAGGAGGGCGTTTTCAAGCACTTTGGACTCGCCAACCACAGCGCTGCGCAGATCGAGGAAATCGTAAAGGCTTGCAAAGCAAACAACTTTGTACTCCCATCGTTCTTTCAAGGCAGCTATAACCCCATTGCCCGCTTGCCTGAAGATGAATTACTCCCCGTTCTGCGGAAACACAACATCACTTTTGTAGCCTACAGCCCCATGGCCGGCAGCTTCCTTGCAAAGCCCGCGCAATCATTCCGCGATGATCCGGAATCCTTCCAGGGACGCTGGAATAAAGAGAGTTTCCTCGGCAAGATCCACCACTTTCTCTACAGCAGGCCTCTGACTCTGCAAACCCTGGATAAGTGGCACGAGATTGCCGAGGCCGAGGGCATCTCGGGCGCAGAAATGGCCTACCGCTGGGTGGCCTACCACTCTGCTCTCACCAAGGACGACGGCATGGTCATTGGGGCAACGACAATAGAGCAGTGGAAGAGCAACCTTGAGGGGATACAAAAAGGCCCTCTCAGCCCTCACGCGGCGGCCAAGATTGATGCTCTGTGGACCCCTGAACTGAAAGCTGGTAGCTTCCTGGACCACTTTCAGACAATCCAAGCGCTGACAATTTCTCCCATGTAATTTGTTCAATCAGACCCACGGGTTTCTGGGGAAAGGTGACATGACGAGGGTACATGGCGCTCCACAAGAAGTAGCGTAAAAGGGAGGAGCCGAAGCGACATGTTATCAGGTTTGCATACCAGTTGGAATATATTATTATATAATGAAGATGCAAAATTGCCTGGATTCGTATCTTTATGGTTGGGTGCAACCAAACCTCCACTACTACTTGGACAAAAAATATCTTGATTGGCTGCGTGAATGTATAAAAGCTTTATGGAGCCACTAGAGGGGAGAGTTCTAGGGAGGGAAGCTCGAGGCGAGGACACTATAGCCCGTTCAGGTTCACTATTGGCCCGAGCTTGTCTATAGTGCAGCCTGGGTGTTGAGAGGGAGATTTCTAGATAAAAAGAACATGATACAACGCAAGTTGAATTTGCACTCTAATCTTTCAAATACGTCGATTGCTTTGTCTGTCTATTCAAACACATTTTGTTCCAACTTCCTCCTTCTTGGCACGGATTCATCCCCCGACAGCCTTCCAACCATGGCGACTTCCGGGTGCAATCCCACGCATTTAAACCTGGTCGAGGCTACTATTCGTGAGCTTCAATATGCTCTCGAGATTGGAGCCATCACGAGTGTGGAGTTGGTGTCACTCTATCTCCATCGTATTGGAAAATTCGACTGCCAAGGCCCCAGGCTCAACTCTGTCTGCGTTCTGAACCCAAACGTATTTGACGAAGCGCAAAGGTCCGATGACTACCGTGCTTCGGGCAAACCACCTAGAGCTCTTGAAGGCATCCCCTTTACCGTCAAGGACAGCTTCATGGTCAAGGGTATGACTGTAGCCGCTGGATCTCCAGCATTCCGCGACTTGGTCTCCTCAGAAGACGCTGCCATTGTCACCTTTCTGCGAGATGCCGGCGCCATCGTGCTAGGAAAGACCAACATGCCGGCCATGGCCGACGGCGGCAGCCAGCGCGGACTCTACGGGAGGGCAGAGAGCCCGTACAACCAGACATATTCAACCACGGCGTGCGCGTCTGGCTCTTCCAACGGCTGCGGCACCTCGACGGCGGCGAGTCTGGCCGCTTTTGGGTTTGCGGGCGAGACGGTCTCCTCAGGCCGATCTCCTGCCTCCAATAACGCCCTGGTCGGTTATTCGCCTTCGCGCGGCGTCATACCCAACCGTGGACAATGGCCACTCTACCCGACTTGCGACGTTATTGTCCCCCATACACGGTCCATGCGTGACCTTTTCGATGTGCTCAACGTTATTGTGTCGGACGACGTGCAGTCAGCACGAGGTATCGACTTTTGGAGAAACAATCCAGTTGTGTCGATCCCTAAATCATCAGATACCCGCCCAGCAGACTATAGCGGCCTGGAGGATGCCAATGCGCTTTCTGGGAAACGCATCGGAGTGCCACGATGCTTCCTTGGGCACGCCGACGCAAAGCCATCTCATTTCATACACGAAGATGTCCTCGCACTCTGGCGAGAGGCCAAGGCCGCCCTCGAAGCACTCGGCGCCACGGTGGTGGAAACGGAATTCCCTCTGCTTGAGCAGTACGCCAAACAGGATTTCCCCGGTCAAGGCTGTAACGTTCCTGGGATGACCGAGGCGTGGGTCGGCATCGAGCGCTGTCAGATGATTGCCACCGCCTGGGACGACTTTTTAAGAAATAATCAAAGTCCCCAGTATCCCAATCTAGCGGCTGCCAACCCCGACGAAATTCACCCGCACATTGCCCCCATGGATGACGCGTCCCGCTTTTCCGAGGTACAGAATCAAGTCAGATACTCCGATATGATCAAAGCAGTGAGAGACCGGAAGGAAAAGACGCTGTACAGCTTTGCCGGCATGGACGAGGCGCTCCCAGCTTTAGAGAACATGCGAAAGAAGACCCTTGAATTATGGATGGATGCACAAGACATTGATCTCCTGGCCTTTCCAACCAATGGAGACGTTGCGTACGCCGATGCCGATGAGTCTTTCCAGTCCATGCAGCATGCTCTACAAGATGGCATCAAGTATTCCAACGGCGGCCGGGCGCTCAAGCATCTGGGCGTGCCCTGCATCACTCTCCCCATGGGTTTGATGGCGAGCAAGCAAATGCCCTTAGGCATCACGTTTGCCACAAAGGCTTATGCCGACAATGATTTGCTGCGGTACGCCTACGCCTATGAGACCATTTCAAGAAAGCGAACCGCTCCGCTGCTGGCGCCAGCCCTTTCTACAGACTTGATACTTTTGCATCAAAACTTGTTTGTTATGGCCAAAGAAAAGCCCATCATGGATGTAACCTCTGCGACGTGGGAGAAGACACAGACTACTGAATTCGAGGTCCGGAAAGTTTCAATAGAGTGTATGTTGTACTCGTCGGCGCCAGCTGAGGAAGTTTGCTCTTTTAGGGTATTCGTCAACGGAGATGAACACGGTAACCCCATCAGGAGAGACGGGGATCGCTGGAAATGGAATGCTCAGCTATCGCGACCTAGAGTGTTTGAAAGATATCCGACCATCGCAAAAGTACCCAAGGATCATTTTCTCGTAGTGTTGGTTTCGAAATTGGAAAGCGGGAGGGCTGCTGGGTCCATGGTATTGATAGATTGACTTGGCAGGTTAGATCAAAAGGACACGTATACCCAATTCATCCATTACCTGATGACAATATAGACGATTCGCATCGCCCATACTCCAACATTTCTTGAGTACCTCGAGTACCGCTGTACTATTACCTAGCCTACCCGAGGTTCGCACCATGCTTGTCAACACGTCATCAAAAACAGGTTGCGTTTCCTCATCTGCCATACTTCCGAGCACACAAATGGCCCACATCAGGCCATTGAACGAACTGGTCTTGGGACCGCTGCGAAGGGCAACGGCCCCCTTCCTAACTGTGTCTTTGATTTCTGGGAGGGCTGGCTGAGGCCCCGACACTATGGTATGCAGCAGCACCAAAGCAGCGAGAGTAAAGACTAGTGAGACCCAGTTGACCTGGGATTCCAAAGTTGCCTATTGGCGAAAGCCCAAGATTGTTAGCATGGAAGAAATAATGAAAGAAGCGATGAATATGGAGGCAAGAGGCACGGCATACCTCGGTGGTCTCCCCCAAGGTACCAAGACCTTGCTCGAGACAGACTTCAATTTCGCGGCTTCTGTCTACCAGTTCCCGGACACTTAGTGTTCCACGCTGCGTCCTGTCTCTTTTCCAACATTGGAGTTCAGCCAGGTTTCCAATTGAGAGCAGGACCCAATTGCAGCAGCCCATGACTTCTGCCGTTTGTAGCTCTTGAACATCAAGCCAGGAACGATGGGGCAAATGAGGAATCGTTTCCGCTGAGATGCACGCAAGAATGTCAAACCATAATACGTGACCTAAAAGAAACTCGAGACCAGTACGGAGCTCCTGGTTCTCCGTATCTGAACCATCAAAACTCATAATTTCAGCAGGGGTTTTACCACCAAATATGGAAGTAATGCCGGCAAGGTGAGGCTGCCAGCTATGCCGTCCACCTTTCACCACCTAGTAGAGATTGAATTAGAAGTCGTTGATGTTTATAGTGGTGAGGAGGGACAAACCTCGAAACTGATCAGGAACAATCCGCATGCAAGAAATTCAATCAGACTAGTCTTGTTTTCCAGCAATTTCGTGCCCCCCTCACGTTGACAGAAATCGCAGAGGCGCTGCAATGCTCTCGAGTGATGGTTAAGTACCCGCTGATTCTGCCACTACGCTTCGTCTCCATCATCATTGTCGTGATTCCTAGCACGGCGGTGGAGAGAAGCCAAGCTCATGGCAGCATCATAAAAAGGACCCCTCCTCATCAACAGCCACAGAATCCATCCGCGCTGACCCAATCTGAATTGAGATGAAGAATATGGAAATTGCCATGGGAACACGTGATCTAGGTAATACATGACGAGACCAGCTTCCTGAGCAGACAAGTCACCCGAGCCCTTTGCATCAGCCCGATTGTCGGTCTGCTCGAGTGCACTCCGTTGGCCATGTATTGGACTGCCCGTGTCGCACGGTGAAACGTCGTTGGACTCATGGTCAGTGGATTTTGGGGTGTAGATCTGAGACGAAGAAGCTGGCACCACTGGAGCCGTGTCTCTAGATTGGGGATTCCTCGCTTTTCGAGCCTCGTTCTGCCGTGTCCTGACTTGCCGAAAGTTGCTTTTGACGGCCGCCTTGATGCGGGACCGTTCTTGGGCCTCGGCAACGCCACCATCCATCCAGCTGGGTTTTGGTCCATACCCATGGCACTGAATGTTCCTGTCACTACATTCGTGGCACCGAGGCGTTTCCCGGTCACACTTGCGATGCCGCACCTGGCAGGTCCAGCAGCCACTGGGGACTAGCGTCATTTTCGAATCTCGAATGGATGGGCCAAGACAGTACAAAGCTGTCACTTTCGTATGGGCGGATGCATCTAGGGGTCTAGTTGTGTACCATCATCGAAGCATTTTGCAGTGGAAACGATGAAATGATACGCGTGCGGTCAGATGAGGATTAGACCGAACCGACCACATTTAGCTGGATAATTCTGGGAAGGAAGGCCGAAGCGAGGTGCTGTGGGACTAGGAAAGTGGGCCAACTACTAACCTAACCTTAGGTATTTATGTATTCAGCGGCGATAGAGGTCAAGGTCAGGCACCCGTAGCTATCGGCCACCTCAATCATAAGCCGCAATGTTACTTCCTTGCACCATTGAACGCGTTGTTCCATTTCCATTTACGCAACTCTAGCGTGTGGCTTTGATAAGGAAAATATAAGCTTTTGAAAATGACGAATTCCTCACTTGTCAGGACTGACACGCGTATATATCTCCACACTAGCCTGAGCTTGGTATGGAGCTCCTACTTTTGTGATATGGCTTGGCGGTATGTCGCGATAAAGACACATGAATGATTAGGTCATGTCTAAGCATGACCTTGACCCGCGGTGCTGGTGGTCTCACTACAACATCATAGCAAACGATGATGCCCTTTTTTGATTCGGAGGAAGGAACATCATGTTATACTATAATCCTAATGCACATCTTTACATTTCATCCTTGGCAGCTGAAAGACCATGAAGCTCGCCAACGACGTAGAAGTATGCACTTTGGGAAGTTATTTTATGCACGGAAATGTTTCAGATTGGAGGTGGCTGGAGTGTTGTCCTGCAATCAAGAAATGAAATTCATGAGACCAATACCAAATATGTATCACGCATAGCTAATCTCTTATAAGAAATTTTGATCATATCCCAAGAAGCCAAGATCAGATGTCCTTGATTAGGAGAAGAATTCGTGCAAGCTCCAATAATCTATACTATGTCATGCGGGTTGTCTAGGTTGTAACTGATTTTCTGCGCCCGCCTTGACTCGTGAAGTATCATGCTAGCAAGCTGCGTGGTAGGGACAGCTGCCGCGGAACTTTCGGCCAGTCTCCCTGGGATTCCCGGCCTGTTTACTGGTCCCTTGCCGAAGACATCGCTACTTGTGACATCAGCAGACACCGATTCCGTTCTCAGGCGCACTGCCTTTCGCGCCTCCAACGAGGTGGCAGACTTTGCAGAGACACGGCGAGGCCCCATTCTGCTTCTGCTCTCATTCAGTGGATTGGGCATGGCATTCCCCTGACGCTGTCTACCACCACGGCCTAGCCATGCTAAGAAATTGGCCACTGCTTGCAAGAAAACTCGCGTCTTGTGGCTCCAGAAATGCATGCCACGGTTCGAGTTCAGAGAGCCAATGAGCACAAAAAAGGGAATACAGACGCACGCGGTGACGATGCCAAAATTCCAGTACTGCTCGTCCGTTGGCATATTGGTCATGCCAAAAACCGACGTCACAAAGGTTAGCGGCAGAAAAAATATGGACACCATGGTCAGAATCTTGATGTTGTGTCCTTGCAGCACCGTGATGTCGGAATTCTCGACTGACTTGCGCGACTCTTGGATGCTGGTGCCAACGAATAGCTCCTCACGTAGCGTCCTGATCTCATTGCGGCGAGCGTCGATCTCGACAATCAGTTTCCCGAGGCTTCGCATCTGGGTCTCAAACTTTGCACGCAGCGTTGACATCTTCTTCCGAAAGTACAGGTTCCGAGGACTGTCTTGTTCCTCAAGCAACCATAGCGTTTTGTGGGTGCCAAGCCAGACCTCTTCAGTGAAATTGTCTTCATACGCATCAATCATAGCCTTGATGGATTCATTCACGATTCCGAGCGTCTGCGCCGCCCAAAAGTAGCGTCGTGTAAAGGTGAAATCGGCGTCTTCAAATAGTAACTTCTCGCGGACGTCCTCATTGAACATGAAGTCGAGCGGAGGCGTAATGAGCCGGCTGATCTTGTGGTATATGCCTTCGAAGCGACGCTGGGCATCCTTGAATTCGCCAAGAATGGTAACCATGAAGGCCTCGACGCCGTTCACGTAGTGCTTGGTCGAGTCGTGCACGTCTAGGCTACACTGCCAATCCGGGTAGCACTGAATGTTGAGCACTTGCCAAGCTGCAAAGGGGTCGTAAACGAAACCTTGATTCCCGTTGCTTCGGCGCGAGCGGTTCTTGATCCGTTTGATGGGTTTGCCACCGAGATGCAGAGCAATGACGGAGCTGCAGCGCGTGATGGCAATGTGGTGCGCCGCGCGCTCTTCCTGTCGATCAGCCAGCTGCCACGCCATGGGCTGACAGTCGTCGCCCAAGAGGGTAAAGTATTCAAAGTTGAAGACAAAAGTGCGGCGGCGCCGTTCGTCGGCGTTGTACACTCGATGAAGACTAGCAGAAGACGCCTCGGATTGCACCAAGTGCTTGAAGAGTTCGTCGACATCAAAATACTTTTGCATGGTATAGTGAATCGCGCCGAAGAGAACAGGCGAGGGCTCATGCATAACGGTGATGCGTCCAACTGCCCGCCGTTCGTTTGAGGGTTTGTTGACTTCCTTGATGGCATGCCAAATGCGCAATGCATTCGATGGAAGCTGCTCCTGTTCGGGTCTCTCTAAAGCCAGTGGCGCACCGTCCGTGCCGACATCATAGACTTGATGATGACTCAGGTGGCTGCGGTCAGGGACAGCGCCCCTCGCCACAGGTAACAAATTTGATGCAAGTAGGGACTTGGGATCCTCGAGCACGTTAGCAAGTATCTTGCGGCCCTCCTCAGACCAATGGTACGATGTCAAGTGCTCATGCAACCCTTGTTGGGTGTATTCCTGGTGTTCCAGAGGCGTCTGTGCAAAGAAGTCTTCTCCAGTCTCCTCCTCGTCTGAATCTTCGCCTGTCGCTCTAGATGCAGACGATGTGACCAGAGAATCAAGTCCCGTTGAGGTCTTGCGCCATCGCGCGTCCTGTTGTGAGGCGGTCTGTGATGTCTGCGATGTCTGCGAGCTTTGCGGGATCTGCGCCGGACTTGCAGCTGCTTCACGAGTCTCCTCGAGCAGCTGATTCAAGAGGTTTTGGCTTTCCAAGTACGCGTCCCGCTGCTCGTCCAGCCGCTTGAGAAGCGCCTCTAACTTCTGTCCGTCCAGAACCATGCTACGGTAATTACTTCGACTCGGGGCCTAGACACATGAAGGAGGCAATACAGTTGCTTTTTTGGAAACAAAGATTGAAAGTTGAGAGGCGAGGCTGGCAAAGTCGACATGGCCTTTTTCCCTCGTCTGCCAGCCTGATGAACATGTTGTAGGCCGGCCAGTGCTGCCGTATTGTGGTGCATGCAGCAGAGTCCAGACTCTAGACAGACCCCCGCTCAGGAACTGAGCAAGAAAGCTGACATTTCGACCACCCAATCAGACGATCACATATGGCAGGCGGCCCTGTCGTATCTACACCGCTGTCGAACAAAGATCAATCATTCTGCATTGCCGAGAATTCGGCCCCCAACAAAAGACTCTCCATTTTCGAGTGCATTCTCGCTTACCCCGCTGCAGATGAACTCGTCCCTTGGCTTCTCCAACGTCGTGGTACTACTAATGTTGTGTAGTGGACTTGATATGCGGTTCGTCCACAAGTTTACTGTCGAACACGATGCAGCAGATACCACCTCTTGCACGATAGACAGGCTGAACAAAAACTGATTTGAATAATTCTCAATTTTATTGTAGTGGAGTTGCAGTAAAAACGTTGAGTTTCAATGGTGAACCGATTCATTTGGTCCCAGAGATGTAAGCAAAGAATTAATAGGAAGACAAAAAAAAGGAAAGACCATGAGAAGTGTAACACAAATCAAGCTCTAGTGATTACTTTATACACATTCGTAAATATATACCCGGGTGGTGAGCCTGTCCGATGGTCATCTCAGATCCCCATAGTCACAGTGGCGCACCGAATACTATCGCGCCGCATCAATCATCTGCGGCGGGACCCGCTGAAGTAGGATAGTGTGGACTAGAGCCATGAATATGACACTATCGCTCCGCTACAGGGGGCTGCTTCTGCTAATCAATTGAAGGAATACACACCCGTACTAGATAATAATAGATATCCCTGCGTTGCTCCATAATAACATAACGTCTCTTCATCACGTTTCTCTGTTGATTTAAAACCCACAAGTTCTCAGTGGTTGAATTCTTCTTCTCCTCATGGTTCCCCCCAATAGACAATACACCATCTCCGTGGAGGCTGAAAAGGTTCGGATTGTTGGACGACAAAATGGCGCCTCAAATGATGGAGTCCATGCTTGAGGGCGCTGCCTCTCACAAGGCCGTCCTTGCTGTTGTTACCGTGAGTAAGGCGCAACCCCCGTGAATTTCTGTCGCCAATGACTTCCGCTCTTACATAGACTGACATTGGTATCACAGATTTTGACATATGCGACAATTCGATGCATCTATCATCTCTACTTTCATCCTGCAGCTAGATACCCAGGACCCAAGCTTGCAGCCATTTCCAATGTATGGTATGCGTACCAATGGTGAGTTGACTGCCTAACGTTCCCAGCTTGTTCGACTTCATTGCTCATATTGATGCCATAGGATCACTGGCAAATACCCTTTCGCGATCGCCGAAGCCCACAGAAAATATGGTGAGACAATCTGCATCAGAGCACCATAGTCTTGCCCATGATATCTAATGGCTGTTACAGGCGACGTTGTACGCATTGCACCAAACGAGCTGGTTTTCATCACTCCACAGGCTGGAACAGGTCAGTACCCCAGTCCTACACAGTTTCCAGAAAACGAAAATGAAACCGACTCTTACTGAATAATTTACCCTAGACATGTTTGGATCTCAGCAAAAAGGTTTCGAGCATTTTACCAAATCTGATTTCATCAGCCTTGGTAGAGCTGACCAGGGCATCACTTGGGAAACAGACCCCGTCAAGCACCGTCAGAAAGTCAAATGGCTCCTGCCGGCATTTAGCGCCAAGTCACTCAAGACCAAAGAACCAATCATCCATAAGTATATTGACATTTTTGTGGAAAAGATGAAGAAGACTGTTCAGAGCGACCGAGGCATAGAACTGAGACAGGTGAGTCCGCATCGAAATGGTAGAGTTGATCATTCTCTTACCTTGGTTTGTTTAGTGGGCAGACTGGCTTGCCATGGACATAGCAGCCGATCTGGGATATAGCCGGGAGATGGACCAACTGAAAGAGGGTAAGTCTTATACTAGCATCACTTTACCCTTGGTTTACCAACTGACACGCCATGTAGAGAGATCTTCGCCATACCTGGAGTCCATCTGGGCTGCCAACTTCTTTGTCACGATGCACACAAACGCGAAGAAGTTCCCTCTGCTTGGCTGGCTTCAGTATTTCTCTGTGCCACCTGCGGCCATTGGGAACTACGTAAGAGCCATTAGTGCCAACAACAAGGCATTCATGAAACGCATCGATGATCGGGGCATGACACAGCACCCAGACCATTTTGACCAACTTCTGGCTCCCGGTGCCCCTATCCCCCCTAAAAATGACCTTGAATCTCTCGAGACCATTTGTCTACATCTACTCCTGGCGGGATACGAACCCATCTCAAGTTCCTTCCACGGCATTATAGCGTTAATTCTGCAGGATCCCCCGAGCTACCAACGTCTGGTTAAGGAGATCCGGGGTACGTTTATTAGCTACGACGATATCACAGCCGACTCTCTAGTTCCTCTCAAGTTCTTGTATGCCACTGTCATGGAGCAGCTCCGTATCATTGTGGTTGGCGCCACCGGTCAACCGCGCGTGAGTCCTGGTGCCACAGTCGACGGGCACTATATTCCCAAGGGTGTAAGTTATATCCCACTTACATCCAGTCTCGAGCCGAATGATGCTGATTTCAGATACAGGTTGAAGTGCAATACGGCAACTACGCCTTTACGCGTGACTCGAGATGGTTCTATGACCCATACAATTTCCGGCCTCAACGCTGGCTGCCTCGGGATCACGCGGACTGGGACGCTGCCTTTGAGAATGATGCTCGCGACGACTTCCACCCATGGAGCGTCGGCATCCGCGCCTGCCCCGGTATGACTCTATCGTGGCATGAGATTCGACTCATCATTGCCAAGGTGCTCTGGACCTTTGATGTGGAATTGTTACCGGGCCAAGACATTAATTACGAGAGAGATTTCAAGCTTTGGGGCATGTTGGAAAAGCCTGATCTCTGGGTTCGGTTTAAGCCGGTGGATCGATAGACAATGAGACCATACCGGTACATATAGCATGAACTTGGGCCAATAATGTCTGGCATTTTTATCATGGCGGGTGGGAGCAATGGTGCAGCAGCACGTCTGTACAAGTCCTCTTCTTTCTCGTATACCTCAAAGCAACAAGAACATCGATAGACGCGAATTCCTTTGCCTTCCGCTGCATCAGCCGAGTTTAATATTCGCAGTGAACCAAGCTAGGCGGCGGGTTGCTATGAATCGCATCGCAATACCTCGGCACCTGCACCTGTACCTTGTGTGCTTTACTTTCAAAACAGAGCCATAGTCCTGCGACCGACGATACAACACCATCATTCAACCAAATCCAAAGACACCACGGACTTTGAATTCAAAAGGAGAAAAAGTCCTCGGGCAGTACCTTACGACAAGACGTTGCGGTAAAAAAAAAAAAAAAAAAAAAGGAAAGGGAAGGGGGGGGGGGGGGGGGGGAAGGAAGGAAAAGGAAGGAAAGAAGAAAGAAAGAAGAAGAGAC